GCTGAAATTCTGCACCAAGGCTGAATTTCGGGAAAGAGACTTCAGATACAGTACTAGGGACCACTTAGGCCTATATAAAAGCATCCAAAAAGCAGCATGTCATGGGACCTTTAAAGTACTTTTTATTATTTATCACTCTATCAAATATTTGCACATCACAAATATATCACAAAAATTGTTTTGTTAAAAAGTCATTTATATATTTGATGTTTAGCTATGCGTAATAGCGGCGTGAAAGGAATTTTGCGAAACTTTGCACCCCCCCCCTTCTTAGAAGTTTAGAATTCGTTTAAAAAGTCAACATTCTTGTAAAACAATCGCACCCAAACGCATTGTCCATTTTGATACACTGTCACTGACTGAGAACAGATATTCAGCAGGCCATTAAAGGAATTCAAACCTTTACATTTTATTTGCCTACTGTGTAAATGTATTGCAACAATCTTTGAAAAAGACACGGTGGCAAACAAATGTATCAATTTTTTCAAGCCTCGCACAAGCAGACTCAGTAAAGTAGGGTGACCATTTTGTGACTGACACAAAACCAGTGAAAAGGGTCAATTTTTCGAAATTGAGATTTACACATCATCTGAAAGCAGTTTTCCAAAAAGAGGACAGTGGGTGCGGGCGGGGTGGGGGTGTTGTTGGTTGGTGGTTAACGTAGTGCCCATATCCCAAATATCAACACTCAAATATGTCATTTCCATACCTAAAATACATATTTTACAGTGACTGTTATTGATCATAAACACAGCTAAAAAGCTTCCTACCAGTGGCCCTCCTTCACAAAACTTAACAGCACAGTTTTATCATAGGCAGAATGCAAAATGTTTCAATACAAGCATTTCAGACAAATGTAATTTATGCAAGATTTCAAACCTTTAATCCAAGGGGAAAAATCAACCCAAAGCAACAGTTTAAAAGTAGCCCAATTCCATGGGGAAAAAACACGGGCTTGACATCCCTGCATCCAACACCAGCTGTAGGAGTCAGATTTGACTGATCACGGGTTGAGAGGAGAGATGGCTGACAGACCATGCTGGAGGATTTGCTGCTCAACAGATCCTGAGCTCATTGAAACATATCTGATCTTCCTTTACACAGAGCGCGCGTGATCTCGAAATCGATCTCGAACCACCACCAGAGAATGTAGAATGTTTGCGGGAGCGGGCGGAATGGACACAGAAAATCTCTGGAGCGGAACAGGAGCGGGCGATAATGGTCAGAAATTCAGCGGGAGCGGGATTAAGAAAACAGTCTCTCACAGGGCTCTAATACAAAAACGCACACGATGAATGGTGATTGTAGAAAACAAAAGCAAAATCCCAGACATTTTGGGTGATTTTGAAATCCTTTTTTTGGTCCAAAAAGAGGACATGTCCGGGAAAAAGTGGACGTATGGTCACCCTAAAGGTTATTGTAATTATGATTGTCATAATATATTATAGTGAATACATGCCAATCAAAATGATCAAAGTATTAATTTAAATGGTTTGTGTTTTAAAATGAAGTTTGTAAAGAGTAAAATCCGCAGGCACCTCCTGTTTTGTGAATCCATGTTTACATGCCAGTTATACAGGAGCATACCTAGCAAAACAGCTGGAGTGTTCATGCTGTGTCTTGTTGATATCCGTGAGGGACGTGTGAAAAGTATGCAGGATTTTTGAGTGGTTATGTGTTCTGACATTGCACAGACAGGTTTTGCAGTTAAGAATCGCTGCTTCAGCCTATCACAGTGGAGTTCAGAACAAACGCAAGTTGGGGGTGGCTGCTTTCTCACAAGTGTTTGTGGTATGTTCGCATAATTAGAAGATATATAACCCATACAGACATACTCACACACAAACTGGGAGTAATGCGTTAAGCATTCTGTCAGTTCTGTTGAGCACATAATCAAGGTCAATATCGACTCAAACTCATTTGAATGATTTTCAATTCAAACCTTTATGGTTGGATTATGAATTAAAAAACAGAAGGTCACTGCATGTCTGTGTCTATTGCAAAACATTAACAGTATCTGGGCAACATCGCTTGGACACTGCATAACAAATATAAAACATGATTTGTTATACCTCTGAAACTGAGAGTTTATTTATGTAAAACTATGCAAAATATATTTTTTATCCATATGGAAACAAGCACAGAAAAGGCAGTCATAAAGTAATCCTTCACCAATGACACTGACTGCAATCCAACACAATGTTCCTCAGGCAAACTTTATTCCATGCATTAGTTCTGACTTGGAGGAGGATGGAGTCGATTGCAGCCATTTTTTTCAGAGGGGCCATTTTACTGAATCACTCTGTGTCTTGCTTCACGAAGAGCCTGCAGGGCGAGAGATTGAGGAATTGATTAAAGTGAATCAATTAATATACAGTAACATCAACATGAAAAAAATATGATATCAGAGGAATGGGATAGTCAAGAATCGGATAACATACAAGAAAATGAAATGAAAATTGATAAATGAATGCATGTTAATATTACAATTATCTGTTCATATTATGTATTTAAAAAATTTGAAACCATGTTCTAACTAACTAATTGCTCTGCTTATGGAAGTTCAGGGTTTTGTTACATAATATAAGATGTTTCTTAGCTTCCACAATCAGTCTCTACATTTAATATTTAATATGCACAAGAAGCAGGATTTTGGTCCAATGAGTTTTCACTGTTGGCGGAATTACTAGGTGTGATGACGCAGAAATAAAAATAAGCGAAATGCAAAATATAGTGTTGCCTGATGCAGCTAGTTATGACAGAAAGTCAGATTAACATGGAAGAGAAGCATGTTTTATCACATCTTGCTTCGTCGTGTTCAGTATTATGACCCATTTTGAATGAGATGAGTGACTTAAACTGCTTGTTTTATTGTCGCAAAATGTAAACATGTTATCACACATCTCTTTATATAAAATTGTATACAGTGGGTATAGAAAAGAATCACCCCCCTTTAAAATAATCAAATTGTGTTGCTTTGCAGCCTGAAATGAAGACGGACAGTTTTTGTTTTATCCAGCTGCATTTACTCAGTGCAACTTATAACATCCAAGTGAAAGATATAACACATTATAACGATAAAGGCACAGAGAAACGATATCGTTGAAATCACTTTCAGAGCATTTTTTTCCAGCTGATGAATGATAAAAACATTGACAGCCAATCAGAATTAATCCTGCTATAATGAGCTCAAGAATTTAAAGCGGCAGACGAGCGTGCGCTTAGAATAAACAGACGATATCATCCGCTGGTGTGGACGCTAAAATAGTTATCGTTCTTGGTGTGAGCGGGTCTTTAGGTGTTGAGGACTAGTGCATCTTTGAGCCGTGATTCAGTATGAGTAAAATACCTAAGTACTGTTAAAATCAGATACTGATCAGTTAAAGACAAAATCAGATAAAGACTTTTACTCAAGTTGTTTTGTAATTGGTGACTTGTAACTTGTAATGGAGTCATTTTCGCTGTAAGGTATCTGTACTTTTACTCAAGTATGGTTTTCAGGTACTCTTTACTCTGCTATATAGCAAATGACAACTGCCTGATTGTAGTTTGAATGGGATTACAGAAAAGGCCACAGGCGAGATGGATGGTGAGAGGGATGAGGGAGAGAGTGAGAGAGCAGGATAGGAATGTCTGTGTTGACCTTCTGGATGGCTTCGCTGGCAGAGTCATCCTGCAGCAGTTTTGCCCGGTCCAGTGCCCTCTCAAAGTGTGACACACAGGCCTTGTAGTTACCCGGCTTCACTGTGAAAGAGAGAAAGAGGATGTAAAATGATTTAATCATACAGCATGGCATGGATTAAATATACTTATACTACGGGCCGTTGAATGCTTGAATCTGTTTGGCTGACTAAGTTGCTGTTCTAAGGTGTGCAATTATTTTCAGGGAAATGCACTGCGAACATAGTTAACTAATGACCACATTAACTCCTACTGATTCTGAACAATGTGGGAAATTTGATTATTCATGGTCACTTTCTGGGATTCTGGGCGATGTAGTTTTTTACTCACATTCTGCCTGCGCCATGAGCACACTGGCATTGAGCTGCCATTTTTCATCGCTGATTTCATCTGCAGCCATGAGCGAGCGGGAGCCATAGTCTCGTGCTTCCCTGTAGAGTTTCAGCT